ATGAGGACGAGGAGCCGCTTGAGGAACTCGTCAGCGACGGCCTCGTACTGGTCGATGGCCTTCTGTCGCCACATGACCCTCGTGACCCCTGCATCAGCCTCTCCATCCTCTCCATCCTCAGCAGTAGGTGCAGCAGTGGTGTCGAGGAATGACGCTCGGAGTGACTGCGACTCCCGTATGACATTGCGCAGTGAGCCCGCGAGCGGCTTCAGCAGTGCCGCGTTCTCCCGGTGCTCGCCAAAGTGCCAGCTAAAGTTGTCGGCGTCGAGGTTGTCCTTGAGTGCCCACGCGCGCATCCGTGGCAGGCCCGCTGCGCCAAACATGAGCTCGCCGTGCAGCAGATGCTGCGCCTGCCTGAACTCCGACAGCAGCAGCTGCTGCACCTCGTCCATGTTCAGGTCGACGTCCCTGTAGGTGAGGATCTGCTCGTCCTCGTCCCAGTGCGCCTGGTGCGAGCCCACTCCGTCCTTCGACACCGCGAACAGCAGCAGGCGCCAGCCCAGTATCTCGCCCATGGGCGTCTCCGTGTCCGGCCGCAGGTACTGCTCGCAGATGCTGTTGATGTGCTCGAGCGTGCTGCCGGCGCCCGACCTCTCGAGGTATGCGGCCGTGCTGAAGATGAGCAGCTGCACAGCCCAGATCAGGCCGGACAGGCAGCTGTTGAAGTTGCCCGGCTCCTTCCACGACTTGGTGCGTGGCTTGACGCTCAGCATCGCGCAGAAGCTGAGGAGCGGCGAGCTGAAGCGGTCGCCGCCGAACTCGTGGCAGACGAGGGCCATGCAGAGGGATCGGAGGGCGTCGTTCAGCGCTAAGCGGTCTCCGTCGGCAGCGCACTCCAGGGCGGCCTCCCAAGCTGTCGTCTGCTCGTCCGTCAGCCGGATCCGGTCCTCGGGGCGCCTGCCCTGGTCCGCGCTCAGAGGTGGCGTGAAGTGGCTGCCGCAGTAGGCGACGCGGTAGCAGTACGCCATGAACTGCTTCCAGTACCCAAAGTTTGTGCGCAGTGTGGATGGCTCCTTCTTGGGGTCGAAGCCGCGCACCCTGCCTGCCCTGCAACTGGCTGGTGCCGATGAGGTAGGGGCGCCATGGAAGCGGCTCAGCGCGAGCTGCCTCGGCCACGTCAGCATGCAGTCCGGCCCGTCGAAGCACCAGCCGTGCACCTCAGCGAGGATCTCGTCCATGACCTCGAGCATCAGGAACAGCTCGGGCTCTCCCTCATCTGCGCTCTTCGGCAGCGCAAAGGAGGCGTGCATCTCGTCCTTCTCTAGGCCCCGCACGTGGTTCTCGATGCCAGTCCGCCTCAGCCACGGGACCGCAGCCGAGGGGTGGCTGTCGAAGCCGTGCACCTTGTTGCCCTCCGTCTTGATGTCGTCCGCTACCATGGTCGCGTCCGCGTCGGCCAGGTCGAAGAAGGCCTGCTCCTGCGGCTCGAGGGCGATGGCGGCAGTAGCTGCGTCCCCTTCCGCCCTGTCGTCGTCTGTAACCACAAAGTACCGGACATGCTCGGTCTTTGCGAAGAAGGTCTGCACCGTGCATCTCTGCCACGCGCCACCCTCACTCTGCTGCGACGGCTTCTGCCCGTGCTCCCGGGACACGTGCGCCCTGATGGCCGGCCCGGACCGGGTCAGGGTCGGCCGGCCGTCGTCGCAGAGGATGCAGGAGAATGCCGGATGGCGGCGCAGTCCCTCGATGGCGATGCAGGGCTGGTCTGGCAGGGCGACCTGTCCCGGGGGCCGCAGCTCATGCGTCGCGAAGAGGTCGAGCAGGGTGCGCAGCTCCGGCCCCTTGAGGTCGTGGGGTGGGTGCCTCAGGTGCCACTCCTGGCTGGCGCGCGCGGGCATGAGGCAGGTCCCGCAGTCGCGGCAGAGCAGCACCCCGTGAGTTGCGAGGTAGGAGAAGCTGGCCGCCATCCTTCCCTTGCGCGAGCGGTGTGTGTGCGCTATTCGCCCTTCGTTGCATGCTCTGTATGCGTGCTTGATGCGCCTGCGCCGTCCCGGGGGTCTCCCAATTTGCTGCACAATAATCGCTCCACAATGGCCCGTGCGCGCGCGAGCGACAGGGGTCGCTCGCGTGGGGATTCCCAATTTGCACTACAGATACGGCCGCTTCTAGGGGTAGCGAAAGCGCCAAACAAGCGAAAGCGCCAAAATGATGCGGTGACCAAACCCCCCAACTAAATGTTAAATTCCTCAACAACAAAACATGCCCCATAAAAACGATGAAAGCCAATTAGTGCTAGCTATCCAGGCTATGCAAAGTGACCCAAAGTTACGCCTTCGAGTTGCTGCTAGGATCTATTCTGTGGACCACCGCAAGCTAGGTCGTCGTCTAGAAGGTGTACCTTCACGACGCGATATCCAAGCCAACTCACGGAAATTAACTAACCTAGAGGAGTCCGTCCTTGTTCAGTATATACTCGACCTAGCTGCCGAAGGGTTTCCTCCTCGGCTGTCTGTTGTTGAAGATATGGCAAGTCGACTACTTGCAACACGCGACGCGTCACGCGTTGGGTCGCGTTGGGCTTCAAACTTTGTTAAGCGGCGTGTAGAGCTCCAGACACGCTTTCAGCGCAAATATGACTACCAGAGGGCTAAGTGCAAAGATCCAGAAGTTATTAATGGCTGGTTTGAGCTTGTGCGTAACACAATTGCGAAATATGGTATCGATGAAGCAGATATCTACAACTTTGATGAGACTGGGTTTATGATGGGCGTTATCTCAACTGCTATGGTTGTAACAAGCTCAGACGGGCAGGCAAAAGCAAAGAAGGTACAGCCTGGTAATCGGGAATGGGTTACAGTAATCCAAGGCGTTAGTTCTCAAGGTTGGGCAGTACCACCATTTATCATTGTTGCAGGCAAAAACCACCTTACATCTTGGTATGAGAATAGTGGATTTTCAAGCGATTGGGTGATTTCTGTTACTGAAAATGGCTGGACTACAAACGAGAGAGGCATGGATTGGATTCAGCACTTTGAGAAGCATACAAAGGCCCGGAGTGTTGGTGGTTATCGCTTGTTAGTCCTTGATGGTCATGAGAGCCACCACTCAGATGAGTTTGAGGAGTACTGCAAGGAACACAACATTATTACGCTTTGTATGCCTGCTCACTCTTCTCATCTACTCCAGCCACTTGATGTTGGCTGTTTCGGCCCGTTAAAGCAGGCCTATGGTCGGCAAATTGAAGATATGATGCAGGCTCATATTTCTCATATTACAAAGGATGACTTCTTTCCTGCCTTCCACACTGCATTTAACACTACAATGACGGAAAGTAACATTCGAGGCGGGTTCCGAGGGGCAGGGCTTCTTCCATTTGACCCTGAGAGAGTGATATCTACACTTGATCTTAAGTTAAGGACACCAACGCCTCCAAGCTCCAGCCCAGGTACTGCTCAACCTTGGGTTTCTCAGACACCAAACAACCCAATTGAAGCTATGTCACAGTCTACATTTATTAAAACTCGGATTTCACGCCATCAAAATAGCTCTCCAACCTCAATCTATGCAGCTGTTGACCAGTTTACAAAGGGTGCATCGCAAATAATGCATCAATTAGCACTGCTAAAGGGAGAGAACCAAAACCTACGACAGGCAAATGAAGTACTAAGCAAGCGCCGGAGAGCTAGGAAAACACGACTACAGCAAGGAGGATCACTTAGTCAACAAGGGGCGCAAGAGCTACAGGATGAGAGGGATGTTGTGCAGCAGGTAGAGCAGGAAATAAGGGCAAGCCGTGGTCGGAAGCCAAGGGAAGAAACCCGTGCCCGTCGCTGTGGCAAGTGTGGTGAGACTGGGCACAATGCGCGCACGTGTCAGATTGTAATAGACACCTCTGAGGAAGAGGACTCCGAGTAGTTTCAATTGATTTCTAATGTTGTGGTAGATTTATCGCAATGTTTGTCGTGAGGGTAGATAATTTTGGCGCTTTCGCTTGTTTGGCGCTTTCGCTATACATGTACGTTATCATATTAATATTAATATGATATAATATATTAAGCTTAGCATTTATTTACAATGTTTATAGGCCTAATTTCGCTTATTAAGAGGCTATAGATATATTATAGTTTATAAAGTTTATAGGAGCTGATAAATTTATAGAGATTTATAAATTTCCATGGGGTGAAACCTTTGCCCACAAAAATCATGACCAAAATATTTTGGTCTTATTTTCACCCCATGGGGCAAGATTTCTAACTCCAACCCTATAGCCAAAGAGCTGAAAACTAGGTAATATCACTTTTGCGTCCCAGTTCGCTTTCCCCAACCGCCTCCAGGCGGTGACCCCCAGAAGTAGTGTCACGGGGGACCTACCCCATCAGTCTGCCAAGAAACTGGTCACGGGACTAGGGTTGGTTAACAATCACGTGTAGATAATACGTATAATGACTTATTTTTCATGTGCAATTTGTAGTAGATGGCAATTACTATAATTATTGCTATAATCTATATTACGCCATGACCCCTGAATTTCCCGACCAGACCGAGACTTATTACGGACTTGGCTCAACTCAATTGTTTCAACTACTTCCCCCCGAGGCAACTGTCATTCTATGGCCTTGCAAGGGAAGGTAGGGTGTAATCACACCCATCTTGGCTTGGGGGTAGCCCCTCTAAATCTTCTAACTCTGGGTCAATTAAGTCAAATGTTGATGTATTAGCCTGACTTTGGTAACGAACTTGGCAGTGTTGCCCTCGGTGCTGGGGTTGAATCGCTGTACCCTTGGTAATGTATAAAGGCTCGTCGTGATTGAATAAAATCAAACCAGTCTTGGTTCCTTTGTCCTATCACAGGTATTTGGCTGCCTTGGGCTTCAGTCTGGAATATACTGTAGCATCATCTCTGTTCGCTTGAAGTTTCCTCTTTAGAATATTTTAGATTGCTTGTGGAGTATATTTTTATAGTAGGTTTCAGTAATATGGGCCTTTGAGAATAAGAGCCAATTATAATAATATTCATGGTAAACTAAGGAGTATAGTGTTGAGTTCTACCAAGCCAGCCAATGCTATGGAGGGGCGAGGGCAGAGCTGCAGTTGAAATGGGACTTGGGATGGAAGTGACTATCAAGAAGTATGGCTATGCCTGGTTTATGGACCGCATCCAATGGGAGGCATTCCGGTTCAAGGATGAGTACGCAGACAGGGTTCCTTCGCTCGACCTGAAGTACGCACGCATGTTCCGAGGATCCCATGCCCCTATCCAGAGCACAGGCGATGCCCTCGAACTGTTTTCAGGTTTGCTGAGGGTGTTTGCTGCAGATGATGTGAAGGTCCTGCTCATCCTGCAGCTCATGTGCCATGTGTGCTTTCGCCAGTTCCGATACGATGTTCGGAAGACGCTAAAGTCAGAGCTCCTGAGTCCTGACAGCATAGATGATGACACTTCGCTCAAGTTTAGCTGGGCTGGTGTCCAGGAAGGGATTACTTGCGGTGTATCCATTGTCATAGGCAACAAGACCGCCTTGCACACGCCTGACCTTATGTTCCGCCACTTCTGGGGCGACGACATAACCTATTCAGACCCGCCGCAAGTTTTTTTTCGAAAGCATTTCGATAAGATTGCCTTCCGCGTCATGTATAGGAAGTCAAAGACTTTTGTCCAGGAGAGCGGTGTGGACCTGCGGTCATACGAAAACCTTTTCCAACACTTGTTTTTCGAATACCAGTGTTTCCATACCCCAACTCTAATGGCACACTCTGTTCTGTGACCAAGGCCGGGGGGCTTCGTCATTGGATTAGCTTCATGGGCGAGCCCGGAAACATGTTCTGGGCTCGGGAAGACTGCCGGCCAGGTTATCCACAGCCTTGTCCGGAGGAGGTCGACTTCAGTCGCGAGGAACTGATGGGGTACATTGAGGACTTTGAACTGCCCCTAATATAAGACATATGAGCTGGCACAATGGGCAGGGTGGTCTATGTGGAAGATAGAAACCCCAGACCCATCTATCATGAACCCGGGGGGCTTGAAAGCAATAGGGAATAACTTATAGGAATGACATTTTATACTTTGTATACGCTGTAAAATAATAATTAAGCCTGAACACATGACCACGCATCGCGTTACAAACCACCCCAGCAACCCCACCTACCCTTGACGTCCTTGGTATTTTCTAATTCCTTGTGTCATCTTAATTCCCAAAAAAAACTTATTCCAAATATGAATATGTGATATATACCTCACCAGAACCAATATTCTGCCTTGGCCCAAGGACTCGGTGCTTAGGCCTTTGTTATTGTGTAATCACATGACTGTGGGTGCGTTGAGTAACCCGCCAGCTGCTTAACATCCTCTTTGTTTACAATAAACCCCACAGCAACCCAACACACTCAACTCCCACTATGCTATGCCGCCTGCTATTGAGGATGATGATGGTTCTGATCAAGGAGGATTAGGTCTTGAGGAGTCACTGGATGCTGAATTCAGCGAACCAGAGCTCCCTCTGCTCAAGCACACGCAAGCCCCGAAGGTGGTTGACGATGTCAACAACCCCAAGCTCCCAGCTCTCAACCATACACAAGCACCAACAGAAGCCCCAGCCAAATCAGCAGAGACAGTGCCAGCTCGTGAAAGCACTGCCACTAGAGATCCTAAAGAGGCCACGGATATAAACAATTCGAATATGACAGTGTTGACCATTCTTAACGCTGCATCGCATTGGGTTCCTCCAGGAACACAAACTTTGGGCCCCTCCGGCGTCATGCCTACCAGCATACTTAGTAGCCCAGTAAAAGAATTTGACGGCACGCCCACCTGAGATATCAGTCAAGATCTGGGTGTTGACGATGGTGCTTCTATCAATACCAGTGGAGTGAGCAGCCCTACAGACAAACCTACCCGCCAGAGACAGGGAAAGAAGGTGTACCGTGGGAATATCGTGCAGCGTGGCGACCGAACCAACTCCAAAAGGCAAATGAATGAGCCTGAAAATAACGAAGGCGCCTCAGACAAGGATCGGTTTTCTCCTCGGGGAGGGCAAGAGGTTCTGGACAACGAGAGAGTGGTGCGTCATGACCGAGCTGCTCACCCATACGAAAATACCAACCCGGATAGCGAAAGCGACAAAATAACTACCTGCCGTCACCGTAAGAGACAGAACCACAACAGCAGCAGCAATAATATGCTATACCATAGCCAAGGCAGTGTCTCAAAACCTCAGGTGCAATATCAGTCGACCCATGTCACCCGCAACAGCGAAGGCGTGGCTGGCAAGAAGCTGCACCAATCGAGTACACAAGCGCAGAAAAAAAAACCTAAACACAAGCATCGACACCAATCTGCTGAGACCTCTGATGCTGGCAATGGCGAGAGTGAAATGTACCAATCTGACTCGGATTCCAGTGTGCTACATGATGCGACACGTCATACCCAAGGCCGGAAGAGAAAACGCAATCCGGGCAACTCCCGCCCACCCGCCATGGTGCTTGAGCCTTCAGAGGGTGCATATCAGGCACGCGAACTAGATGTCATACACCCGCTCTCCGTCAATGGTCAAGCTGGGATTGTGCTGCTGGAGGGTGTAACCGCAAGAACAGATAGCCAGGCCAGACTCTTGGCCATGCCTCGCATGCGGGAGCTACGGGTCCGGTCGCAGCAGAAAAGTATCAACCTGCGTGATGAGCATAACCGAGAGGCGGTATTCGCCCAGGTGGTCGGTACCCTATCTAAAGTTTGCTGCGAGCGTTGCGAAGCTAAAAATGGGCCGTTCACTGAGTGTGTTGTGGTTGACAGATATTTCTACGGCGCCTGTGCGGGGTGCCGGTTCAACCGCATGTAATGGTGGGTGCACCAGATATGAGAATCTAGCCACCCAAGGAAGGGATGAATTTACTAAGACAACACACTGTCTTAGGAAACAGAGCCAAAGGGTTGTAGCTTAGACTATTCCACAACGCAGCAATCAGGTGTATGATGTGGTGAAGTGGTTTAGACAAGTTGCAACAAATGTTGAGTCTGAGAACTCAGGGGTAAGTCAGAGGTTAACACCTCACTGACTTTTCAGAAACAAGGAGTAACAAGATGAATGCTTGGAAGCTTGGAAAAGACGTGGAAGTATGTGATAGTCGATTTACTGTATTGTCTGCTTGCCCTTTCTTAAGGAAAGGGCAATCCTATTTATGCCAAAGGAGTGTAGTTCTCTCATTTTCCATGACTTTCCATGACTAACCAGGCTTGGTAAATGTATTAGAAATCAAGTGCGACCCACAACTAGCTTGCTAATCATGTAGTGAACGTAAGAGAATCCCATAGAACCATCTCTTGGGTTCCTAGCCTATAGGAAGTGAAAAGGAGGTCCAAGGTCAGAGTACCTATAGATAAATTATGTCATAACTTAACCAATCTTGTGGGTAACTAAGGAGCGATGACGTGTAATGAATCATAGAGGGTTGTAGAAGCTTCTAGAGCTATCGTTCATGTTCCTAGGCCTCTAGTTGGTAGAGATATGCCATGTGGTAGTATTGGCCCACCCCCTTAAGGAGGAGATTTTCTTAATAACTTGTTCAATGAGTGTCCAAATGATATGCCGTGATGTATGTAGCATAAACAGATGTAGTAGAAGAGTTTGCAGCAATCGTTGAGTAGTATTGCTTCTGTTGTTGGTGTGATAAGCCAAGATATGTATGGTGACTTGTAGGTTTGAGGAGGAGATTTCTAAGTTTGCTCTTGAGTTTGATAGCAAACTGAGTGCAACGAATGTCAGTATGACACCGCAGCTCACATAAGTGCTCGCTCTACAATAAACGTAAGGCTCCTCTTGTTGGTGTGATAAGCCAAGATATATATAGCGACTTGTAGGTTTGAGGATCAGATTTCTAAGTTTGCTCTTGAGTTTGATAGCAAACTGAGTGCAATGAATGTCAGTATGACACTTTGCCTGGATGGGTTTGGGTTATGGCTTGGAATCAGCTTATCCTTTCCCCTCTTATTTCTATCACTCTAATCCTGCTATAACTCCTTCCTTATTCCGTGACCTCTACCTCCCTCGTTATTCCTTGACCTCCACCTCCACTAACCAGAACACCTGCCATGGGCTCCTTTCATGGCAGCTTCGCCTTTTGGCTTGGGCACTTCTACCTCCCTATTCCATCACCTCCTGCTCCTTCCTTGGCCTGTGACCTGTACCTCCCACCCTATCCATCACATCCCGCTTCTTACTTGGCCTGAAAACTCTAGCTCCCTCCCTCGTATCAAAACTCGTAAGAGGCCATTCGATTCCTCTTGTAAATCTCTCTCAATGACAGTACTAGACGTTATGTTTCGCCCGTTGCTGCAAGACCTAGGCCACATCTCATACCATGGCTTCCTGCCTAACAAATCTGGAATATCTCTCTCATTTGAAGTTGTATCAAAATTCCGAAAAAGCCATTTTCTTCTGCTTGTAAAACAGCCCCTATATACAATGTCGACCAACCCATTATAGTCGGAATTTATAATAAATAATTGAGTTTGGAATTTTTGACTTTTGACACATTTACTAGGAAGCTGGCCTTTGAATTTTCGACTTTTGAGACCTTTACTAGGTAGGCGGCCACCATCGCAGCCAGTTTTGAATTTTCGACTTTTTTTCAATTTTTGCCGGGTAGGTCGATTATAGCGTTGGTACTACTTTATGCGCTCCAGCCATGGTGTGGGCAGCATGGGGCGGTGTTGGTGTGGGCGGTGTGGGCAGTGTTAGTGTGGGCGGTGTGGGCGGTGTTGGTGGTGTCGCATTTTCGCATTTTTGGCCCTATGTACCCTTACCCTACTAAAATCCAACCCCTAGAACTTCAACATTAAATAACTTCTGTACCAAAAGAGCTATTGACTTAGGAGTAATTTTATAAGTTTCGCATGCCTGAGAAGCACAAATATAGTCATATAATCTATTGTGTCAAATCACTGTATAGTGCAGTACGATTGATTAAATGACATGTACTTACAATATAGGTGTAATTGCATTTTCGCATTTTCGGCCCTATGTACCTATGTACCCTCATCCTACTAAAATCCAACCCCTACAACTTCAACATTGAATAACTTCTGTACCTACAGAGCTATCGACTTAGGATTGATTTTATGAGTTTCGCATGCCTTAGGAGCACATATATTGTCATATAACATATTGTGTAAAGTCGCTATATAGTGTGGTATACATGTAGAGGGTGTAGCCTATGTACTAGGTGTAATTAATTGCATTTTCGCTTTTTCGGCCCTATGTACCTATGTACCCTCACCCTACTAAAATCCAACCCCTACAACTTCAACATTGAATAACTTCTGTACCTAAAGAGCTATCGACTTGGGAATGATTTTAAAAGTTTCGCATGCCTTAGGAGCACATATATAGTCATAGAACCTATTGTGTAAAATCGCTATATAGTGTGGTGTAATTGATTAAAGGCATAGATAGCCCTCGTCCAGGGAAATCCACCTCGCGGATTTCCACCTCGCAGATGCGGACACCAGCAGGATGTCAGGCTTCCTGCCGACGATCAAGTGCTCTATGTGTGCGCAAGAGATCGAGATCTCCATGATGGGCGATGCGGCCCTGCTGAGCGTAAGGATAATTTTTTATATATTCCGTCACTAATAAATTACAACAAAGTCATTTCAAGTTAATAGCCCGTTAACATTACAGACCTTAATGTACATTAATGTACATTTTATAGCCACAAAACACCAGCCGCTTCCTTGGTTCTATTCTATTCTACTCTACCCTTAGAACCTTCGGCCCTCTCTTCTTCGCGGCCTTCTTCTTCTTGTTCCCCCGCTCAAATGACGCAGCTGCTCCATGCTCTCGGCCGACATTGTCAAGGTCCTTGACCTTGTAGATCCTAATGATCCAGTTCTCACTGGTGTATGCCTCCTCGATCGAGTTCAGGACTGGTCCGACATCTGGGAGCCTGGCGCCACGAACGCGGTCCTGGGCTTGACCAGGTGGGAAGAGGCCGTTGTAGTTGTAGTAAGACATCTTGTACCTGTTGATTGTTAGGGGAGGGGATGGCTTATGGTAGTGTGAGTACTTTACATCAAGCTGTTCTTCATGGTGTCGGTGGCCTCGTGGTCAATCTTGTACTCGCCTCTTGGGGTGAAGAAGTCACGCTCCTTGACCTCCTCAGGCCAGATGCCCTCGGCAATCCTGACCATCCACAGGAACTTGTTGATGTCATCTCCGGAGTAGCCCAGGAGACCACCGAAGACAACAAGAACGTAATCCACCTCGTGTTGCCTCATGATTGGGTAGCTGACCTCTTCGCTAGAGCTCATGGCCTTACCGACGGTAGCAATGTGAGTGTTGTTCCAGGTGTTGTTGTCGACAAGAGTTGGTCTGTCGGCCATGCCACCAATTTGGTAGCCGTAATCCCACCATGACATGATCTTCGCATCCTCCTTGGTGTTCTGGCGCAGCCACTGGTATGCCTCACGGTAATCATCAATGATATGCTGGCTTCCATCTGGCAATTTGCTGGCGAGAACAACGGATGGAGAAGAGTAGGCATTGGATGTGACCCATGTGCAGTGGAGGACGAAGACCAAAAGGTACAGCGTCATAGCGCCCACCACGGTTGACTTCGACACCACGGTATAAATACCCACAAGGGGGTTCCTCATGCTACGCAGCCCACCCTTGGCTGGGGCATTCTTGGTGGCCGCTGCCTCAGTCGCGACAAACTCGGCATCCGACTTGGGGGACTTCATTGACAGGTAAGTCTCCAGAATGGTGGACAGGACCATAGCTGCGGTCACACAGACAATAGGGGTCAATGTGAGCATCAGTCTGACCATGACTCCAGAGAAGTAGCTTGCCAGGATGGAGTAGACGACAACAAACACTTGCTCATCAGTCAGCTTCAGGAAGCACAAGTAGACACCTGCCGGGAACAGCCAAATGAGAAGGTTCAAGTCGAAGAAGAACGCAGGCCATGCGGTCGGCTGGTGCTCGGAAACGGATGCAATGATTGGGATATGGATCTTGGCGTAGCCAGTATCCCACAGAGAGTAGAAACGCCCGGTCCAGGGAGCAATTACGCCAGAAACGGTCAACAATACTAGGCCTCCGAGGGCGACGGAAAACACCAAAACCACAAATCCTCTCAGTAGGGTCTGGAACTGCTTGCTGGGAACGCCGGCTCGGACGAACTCAACAAATCCAATAAGCTGGAGGAGACCAAAGACACCTGAAAGGTCAGCAAAGAGTCATTACTTCATGGAATGGCTTGGACCATACCAAGTGCGGACATGTGCTCGCTGCTGCGAATTGGCAAGAATCCAACAAAGGGGATTTGCATGCTTGCCAACGTGCCCAGAGCGTACCATGTGCAGTAGCTCACGTAAACTCTTGAGCTGAATCGTCCCATGCAGACAAGAACAAATACATGGAGAGGAATCAAATTCGTGATGAAGACGTATCCTCCCCACGCAGAGACCATGTAGCCGTAGAACAAGGCGCAAAGGGCGCCCCAGAAGGCTGATCCGAGCTTGATAGCTTTGATCCACAAGTAGAACGTAAATACGAGAAGGAAAATGGCGATAGCCTCATTGTCGTAGCTGCCTGCAACTGAACGAGAAATATAGCCAGGGGCAATGCCCATGAAGATGGAGGCGAGAAGTCCCGCGGAGGGGGTCGAGGACATCTCATTTGTGAAGAGGTAAGTCGCAAATGCCGTCAGGCCTGAGAATCCCGGTGCGAGAAGGACACAGATGTTTCGGATGTCGACTGGAAGTGTCAATGCCTTTAGTGTGTGGTAGATAGCTCCACTGGTCACCATGAGGCCGGGATACAACGTCCCTCCAGTGACTCTGCCAAGTGGATGCCACGTCCGGTCATCAAACCAATCCCAAAAGTCGTAGAATCCATTAGCAACCAGGTACTTCGTTGCTCTGAAGTTAAACCAAGGATCGACTATTTTATGTCAGCGTTCGTCCCTCAGATCTATGGCGTCGTAAGCTGTTAGAATTGGGAGACAACGCACATTCGTGAATTATGCTTTCGAATCCTAAGAGAGAAGAAAGTTAGCAAGAGTTTCACTGAAGCAGACACAATATCATAGTAAATTCTCTGTTGTAGCAATCGCAAGACGTAGATTTCTCTAGCCAAGACATGCATATCCAGAGCTGCGCATATACATACTTATAACAGAGAACAGCCGACTGGAAACAGCTGCTGCCGCAATTGTACAAAGAATGACCAGTCGAAGAAGCCCCCTTGTATTCCTCCCCTTTGCACCCGTCAGGTAGGAATTTTCTGTCGTGACCGTCATGATGGTGGTCGTGAATGAAAGAGTGGACGACTGCTTCACGATCCTAGCCAGCAGGGGAATGCTTAGGTGTCTTGAGCTCGCGTCCTGATGTTGCGCTTGTGCCTGAGGCGTCGAACTCGGATGGAGGCAGGGATATGCCAAACTGCCGCCACATGCCACCAAAGCCACTGGCAAATTGGGAAATCACTATTGTTTATTGTGGTATGGGGGATAGATCAATTGACTTTATTAAAGGATTTGTGTATACATAGGTATTGGAATGGTGATACTAAAAAATGGCGGCCTCTTTCCATATCGGTCAAACAGGCTCTTCCAACTCTCCATTGGCAGCTCAGACTGTCACACCTTTTACAATCAGATATACCACTTGAATAGTTTGGGAATAAAGTACAATACAATGTACAGGAAGTATGCTAAACCGACGTCTAAGCCATTTTACGGCTTACCATTCTAAATCCTGCCAGCCCATGCCCCATCCTTCATCTTTCCAGGAGTAACCATGTCTTCGATCATCTTCCTCTTCCTCTGCCCAATCTCCGCATCATCATAACGGTTCAGATCCTCTATTTGGAACCGAATTCGGCGTTCAGGTATTTCTCTAAGTCGAAGTTCTTGTCCTCGGGGTCACGGATAACTGTAGGCAAATCCGTCAGCAATTGTCTCTATAACCGTCTTCACAGATTCGTGCCAGAGCTGTTCGTCTCTCCAGCAATGTCCCCGAAACAGCCGAACGTGAAATATCCAAACAATGGGGGGAAAGCGCAGTACATACCACCATCAGCCGCAGGTGGAGCAGTCTTCTTGACGTATTCCTTCTTCGCCCTGTCGATCAGGGCCTGCTTGCGCTCGTATTCACGGTTGGCAGCGTTGAGCTTTGCGGAAGCAGAGAGAGTAGCCTGGTGGTAAAGACCGTAGAAGACACCGGCACCAAGAGCCGAGTATCGGAGAACCTATCGCGTTCAAAGTCAGCGAATGCGCGATTGTAGAGGCGGGCATGATTGGGAGATCTAGCAGCATCGAAAAAGCCCCCAGAGCGCTCCTTTGATGTCAAGGGCAACGGCGCAAGCCAAGCTCAACGGGATGTGCCGTAGAAGTGGTGGAGGACATACGTTAACACCGGTGGAAGCCATTGGGAATGTCGACGTGTAGTTTCGTTCGTTGGCGCAGGGACTGTGATAAAATATGCCAATTGGCTTCGGACCGTTTGTCAAAGTGGATATGGCGACGTGATCGCAACTGAACGGACAGCGAGAGAGTGTTGCGCGGGATGGATAGTCTCTCGAAATAATTCGGGTGATGTTGCGAATTCGAATAAAGCTTGCTCCCGAGGATCCCTGACAGTTTTCACGTGACTTTATTTTTAGGGACAAGCGGGTGCTCCATACAAACAAACATCAACATGTTTCGCGGTCAACAAGGAAATATTCAGGGTCTTTAGTTCGATCTAGTACATAACTTCAAACGGTCTTCCTACTTTATTTGTGAAGGGTTTATATGGGCGAATATTTTGACTAGAGTGCCTGAGGCTGGTCATATCGTGGTCCAAATCTACGAAAAATACAAGGGGGAGTAGTGAAGACGATGTTTGTCTGGCACCGACATCATGCAACAACGAAGAGATGAAATTCTCGCAAAGAAGGCGAAGCTTGAAGAGCTGAAGAGACAGAGAGCCCTCAGGGCAAGAGAGGTCTCAGCAACCAGGCAGAGCATAGGGAGCCCTGTAGATGTACGAACCCTCGCTTTACACCATGTACGTTTCTAACCCGCGCAGTTGATATCTCCGACGCCAGGGAGATCAGACAATCGTCGGGAACTCGACAACCTTATATCCAGCTTAGTTGGCGACAGCAGGCCGGGCTCAACAGGTGCAGGAGGTGCAGGGTCTCCGGCGCACAGAGGGAGCAGGCCGAACAGCGTCCTGAGCGCAGGGGCATTAAGCAATGAGAATTCCGACATTGTGAGCCCGGCGGATGGTCCAGCAGCGCCACAGTCTCAAACACATACAATTTCCACCCAGACTCTCTCGACAGTCTCATTATCCACAGTCTACGAGTGCCCCCCGTCACCAGTCAAGGAAGTCTTCTCATATAGTAAGGGGGTCCAAACATCAGGAGACTGGGTGACAAAGCCAGAACAAGCGCGTCCATTTGCTGAGTCGGATAACGAGGATGGGCCATTACCTTCCACTCCAAACACAAAGAGACTGAGCAGGAGGGACAGGGATAGAGAGGAGGAGCTACGTCAGAATTTAAGGAAGGAGATCGAAGATGAGCTCAAGGCTGCTAGAGATAGTATCTCGGATGGGCCACTCAAACCAGCGTCCCAAACAGGGGCCGCTGCGAACTTCCCGCTTCGAGAATTGTCAGATGAGGAGCTAGCCGCTATCAAAGAGTCAGACGACCTCCAAGACTTCCTCGAGAGGTCGTGCAAGGTTATCGAACGAGCCTTGGACCAAGAATATGATGTCCTGGCAGATTACGCACACAATAACAGCCTTGGCATGGATGATGAAGACGACGAGAATGACAACGTCGCTGGCAAAGGTCGGCGCAAGGTGAAGCAAGTAGCCCAGTTTTACGATGAGAGGTGGTCGAAGAAGAGGATGATTAGCTCTATCAACTTCTCGCCCAAATTTCCAGAGCTTGTACTAGCCTCATATACGAAAAACCCCTCGGCGCCTCACGACCCAGACGGACTTGTCCAAGTATGGAATACCCATCTCCACGACCGACCGGAGTTTGTGTTCCACGCGCAGTCAGATGTTCTCACCGCCAAGTTTTCTCCATTCCACCCCAATCTTATCATTGGTGGTGCTTACAGTGGACAAGTCTTGCTATGGGATACACGAGCGAAATCAGCACCCGTTCAGAAGACACCCCTGACCGGTTCTGGCCATACCCATCCAGTTTACTCAGTCGACATCGTCGGTACCCAAAACGCCAACAACATCCTCTCCTGCTCCACGGATGGCGTAGTTTGCGGTTGGTCCGTCGACATGTTCACGCAGCCGCAGGAACTCCTGACCCTCACCACTCCCCCTCCCGCCAAGACCGAAGACCTAAGCCCAACCTGCATGGCATTCCCCCAAACGGACCCGACCTACTTCCTTGTCGGCTCCGAAGAAGGCACCATCTACCCCTGCCACCGCTACGACCGCGCCGGCTCCAAAGCCGGCGTCGACCAACGCGTCAGCTACCGCGGCCACGCCGCCCCAGTCATGTCCCTCAGCTTCCACCCCGCCCGTGGGCCCATCGATCTCGGCGACCTCGTGCTCTCGAGCTCGCTCGACTGGAGCGTCAAGCTGTGGCGCATGCCTGCACCCGCCACGGCCACGACAGGCATCACTGGCGAAGCGCAGGTCGTGGCGCCGCTACTGGACATTGTGCGCGAAGACGTCGTCTACGACGCTGCGTGGTCGCCGAGCAAGCCCGGCGTCTTCTCGCTCGTCGATGGCGCCGGCTTCGTCGAGGTCTGGGATCTGAATATTGACACCGAAGTGCCCTGCGCGCGGCTGCAGACGAAGCCGCGGCTGGGTGCGAGAAGCCAGTTCAGCCGCAGCCTGAATCGCATGGCGTGGGAGGAGACGGAGGGGAAGAGGCTTGCGACGGGTGGTATTGACGGCGAGTTGACGGTGTTTGAGGTTGGGCCGGATTTGGGGGGGAAGGAGAGCTCGCGCAGCGAGGAGTGGACGAGTATGAAGAAGTTGGTGGCGAAGTTGGAGGCAGCGGGGTTGGGGGGACAGGGGATGGGGATGGGTGGTGCGTTGTTGTGAGGGGTTGGGTACGTGTACGTTTTGTTTGGCGTCGTATATACCCTCTATATAGTCCTACGTTGCTGAACCGAGACAACAGACACTGAATGTACGTTATAATACAGCAGTAACTGAGACGACGCGTTGCGTCGCCAGTAATTACCATGATGGAAATGGGTTCACGTGACCGAGGTGTGGAATATAGGGGGCGGTGATGTATGAGTTGACGGAATTGGATAAAGAGAAGACATTTAAGCCAATTATGTGGAGGATAATAGATAGCTTTCAATGTTGTAAACAAAGGTTTGGCGGTGCAAGAGTGAATTTGTGAATTTGTGTGACTGTTGTACGATCGTACCTTCCTTCTCACATCTCAACATCGCTCTTTCTAGCAACCCCTTAGGATCGCAACTTCCCATTCCAGCAGTAACCCACACTCTCTTGTCAACAAACATCTCTGCTTCTGCTTCTTCTTGTTGATTCTTCTTCAACATCTTCTTTTCCAGGCATCTTACGTTTTTATTCGCAGCTTTTGGGAGGACGGATATCTCAGTAAGTAAATTTCACTTTCACTTTCACGCCATTTATATTCACCAGAATTCACCTCTCCTTTCCTCTCCTCTCCTCTCCAAACCTCGATCCATCTGCCAGAACAGATCAAAACGTTCTTTGCATTCCAGTAGCTAACCACCACAGCAACACTCCAAACACACTTTAATTATCAAGATGCATTTCTCGCAGATCCTCGTTTTGGGCGCTGCCTTTGCCATGGCCAAGGTCATGATCACCAATGCCGACTACAGCGGCATTACCTTCGACCATCCATTCACGGTCACCTGGCAGGGTGCAACTGGCATGGTCAGCTTGCTTCTCAAGAATGGCGTGCCATCCAACCAGCTCTTGGTCGACACCATTGCTGGTAAGTTGCCCTTCTGAGACTTTCCAGATCGGACGTGCTGACCCGCAACTAGATGGACTCTCCGGCACTTCATTCACCTGGTACCCCGAGGGAAATCTCGAAGAGGGCATCTATAACCTGGAGATCAAGGATTCCAGTGGCGGCGTCAACTACAGCCCGCAGTTCCGCATTGACCACGGCATCGCCTACGATGATGGCGAGGGTGACGACGCCCAGCACCACAGCGTGGCTCCGGGCCATTTCCTCCACAATGCCACTGAATCTATTGGCACTGAAACCACTGAGTATGTCACCGCGACCACTGGTCATGCTGGCGCGTTCCCCACCTTGGTTCCGGTGCACAATGCCACGGTGACTTCTTCCACCGGCGTGAACAACCACACCGTCGGCACACCGACCAACACAAGTATGTACCCTGAGATGGTAATGACGTTCTCATACTGACCATGTTGCAGGCATCTCCCCACCAACGTCGAGCGTCCTTACGGCCAAGGCAGCCCACCATGTGTCACCGTTCAATGGACTCGTGTTAAGCCTTCTCGGTGCACTTGCGCTGGGCATTGCCAACTGATAGGATCAGGTTTGGCGGAGGCTCATATTTGTATAGTTTCCGCTGCTGGTGTCATGGTACGAGGTGGTGAAGGTGGAATGGGTTTATTGTGTTTATTGTCTGTGAAGGTTTTAGCCCTTTACATTATTCTTTGTTTTTACTGTACCAGCAGAGATACGGGCGAGGGGTATGATTATAAAAAAAAATCGGAGAGGGATAGGGATAGGGATAGGGAGAGGGATAGGGATAGGGAGTGAGGAATGAGAGGTGGATTCACAACTACTGGTTGGACTTGATGACTGTGCAGTGATGTTTGTGGTGACTGGCAGCTACCTTATGATTTTGGGTTTTTGCGACAGTGCAGTTATGTCTACCTAGACATAGGTATGGTGACTCGGTGTTGGAGGTAATTCTAGGCGTGTAAATCTCCAGCAACCGTAAAGGCTTCGCAGAAACTACAAATATACGGAGTATAGAATATAAAGATCAATTGAATTACTACACTATCTACGGAGCCTACTCCGTACGTATTATTTATGTTATTCGGAGGGCCTGCCCAAACCCACTGAGTAGCAGAAGGGTTTGGGCCTGAAACCTAATGCGCTGGGGTTCCGAGGCAATCGGCTCACGCCACAACAACTTATGAGGCTGATGATGGCTGAAGAAACGGAGGGTCTATTTCCACCACGTCATGCGGCGTATCAATGGATGCGGCGTACGGAGTAGCATAGGTATTATATCCGACATTTGGGTATATTTTGTGCCTTCAGCTGTGGGCTGTGGCTGAGTCTTATATTGGGATCTCCGTATTGATTCTTCAAGTATAATTAGCCCCGCCAGCATTCTAGTTTCGTCTCCCCTGTATCCCTGAAAATGGTGGATTAGCCGGCAGGAATCCGACAACTTGGCATGTCACTTTGTCGCTCACACGAACTCGCTGTCGCCCATCGACGGCGACGAAGAATGAAGCCGTAGGAATGATCAAAGAGTAACTTACTCAACAGGTAACGCGACTAACCCTCACGCGATACTGACTGACTTGTCGACGCGTAGAATGTCCATGGCAGAGAGACAAACCGCCGTTTGAACTGCACGTGTGAGACCTTCAGTGGTGGTGAGTGGGTGCTATTCCTTGGCGCGACCTCCCCACCCGCCGTCATCTTGATCCACCACTCATTTCCCAATAAGTTATACCCCAATCCAGAACATCCACCACTCATTTCCCAATATATCCCAATCCAGAACATCGCCGCCACAACTTCCCCATGAGCGCCCTGCAAATGTGCAAATGGGTGGAAATGGGGGACTATCGGGCCATGGGGCGGCATAATCATCCCCATAAGACACGCATGCCCCCCTCTCACCCCCCCAAGCTGTCAAGCGTTGAAAGGAGATTTTGTCTTTGAGAGAGATTTGCACCTTGTACGAGTATCTTGCGCTTAACTGGATTCACTCGCTGTTATTGTTATATTGCTTCTTCTTTTATCGCTCAGCTCTTTCATCATCACCAACCAAAACCACAACACAAAACAAGTCACCATGCGCTTCATCTCCGCTCTCCTCGCCGGCGCCCTCGCCGTCGTGGCCGCAGCCCAGACTGGCACACAGCCAAACCCCTTCACCAACACCGACTTCACGGGTATTGCTGCTGGGAAGCCAATCACCATCACCTGGACGCCAACCACCAACGGCAAAGTGAAGCTGGAGCTCGTCCACAGCGACACCGGCAACAGCGACGATCTGAAGCCTGTTTCTACCATTCAAGGTGCGTTTAGTTTCCTTCTTCCCTCTCTTTTTTTCCACCCTACCACGATCGCGCACAACTAACACCCGCCCAGCCAGCATCCCCAACTCTGGCTCTTTCACCTGGACCCCCTCCTCCTCCATCGTCAACGGCGAAGGCTACGCACTCAAGATTGTAAACGACGCCAACCCAGACGAATATAACTACACCCTCCAATTCCCTATCAAGACCGACACCGATGCCGCCGCCCCAACCTCGGCTTCCTCCACCGCCGCCTCATCCTCCACCGCGGTCCCATCTTCCACCGCGAAGCCATCCACCTCCACCACTGAGCAGTCATCCACCACCTCCGAGGTCACCTCCACCGGCGCCAGCTCGACCACCAAGGCCAGCACCACCGCCGCCTCCACCACCAAGTCGGCCCCAGCCACCACCTCGCACGCCGCTGCGACCTCGTCTAGCATGGGTGCTGCCGCGACCGGCGGCGCCAAGGTCGGCGCTGGACTCATGGGCTTCGTTGGTGCTGCTATGCTGCTGTTGTAGAGCGTGGATGCGTGATCACCTTGATACCAAAAGTTCGGTAGGAGAGGGGAGACGAAGAGGAGGTTTGTTGTATTTCATGGCGGCGGGGTGGAGGAGGATTTAATGGGTGAGATAGGGTTTTATTTCGTGGATATAGTTGTGTGTCACGATGCATGGCGTTTTCTGTAGGCTCTGATTTATTCACATAAAGTGGGAGCTATAATTTGTGTGAGGGAATACAATGTTTTTATGTATTGTGCTCCGCGTCTGCGTCTCGGTTGTTGGCTGAGAGTCCCCAGACTGTTGTCTGTCAATGCGAGCCATCCAATCTTTCGTCTGTCTGTTCAGTACTATTATATATATAATAGAGTTTCTACGAATGTCGGTCGATGCGGGGTGTTGTCTGATGAGTATGCGTGGGGAATGCAAGGGGATCTTATCGCGGTCCGAGCCGATCTCGTCTTCAACGCACAGGCAGATACGCTTCGTTATGTGCATTGCTGATCTCGTATATAGGTAATAGAGTTTTCTTTTCCTTCGTATTCCCTTCAACTACCGGGTTTGACAGCGAAGGGCGGGGTGGAAGAAGTGGTGCAGGCGGCGCAGGTGCAGGTGAAGTAGTAGTGCTTCTGGAGGAATGCTTGTCGGGCGGCGCGGGGAAGGGTTGTGTCTATCTGGGTTGTTAGTTACGGTTTCACAGAGGATGGGAGTCTTGTCTCTGTGGAAGAATTTAGGAGAAGTGGGAGACTGGACTGACCAATGTACGAGATGGTGATCTCCTCGCCCTCCTCGATATGCTTTAGTGCAGTGAGAACCGCGCACCGCCCGTCGAACTTGAGGGACGCATTCGGCGCACAGCTGTGGTTTGCCATCCCGAGCAGCGGATCGAAACCGATCCCGATTTCGTCGCCGCTGGCATCTGTGATGCGGAAGGAATTCACATTCATCTGTTGGCTGCTGTCAGCCACCCGCTCCTCTCACCACCCCCACACCGATCAAACTTACAACGCAAAGTAGCTCCAGCGCATCCTCCAACCTGCCCCTACTCATCTCCATCCCCGAATAATGCACCACAGCCTTCGCCTGCAGCTCAACCCCCTTCCCACCCCCCACCTGTTTATCCCTCCACCCCACCATGCCCCTCACCCGCTCCCTAACCCCCTCCTCCCCAAACCGCGCCAACACATGCGCGCCCCCCCTCACAGGCGTAGGGAGCCTCTCCCCATCTCCCCGCTCCTGAGTCACTCTCCTAAACGTAGCACACTCCGCGTCATGGCGCCCCGCCATGCCCCGCCGCCGCGACACAATGTGCGCCTCCTTGCAACCCTCGCAGAATCGCGCTGCCTCGCAGAGACGGCATGGGAGGAGCAGCGGGGCGGGAAGAAGGCAGTTCGAACAGTGTGCTTCGAGGGCTGAGTTCTGGAGGAGGGCTAGGAGCGGTCGTGAGAGCCTGAGTATCGGAGTTTGTGGAGAGACGGGGACAGAGGCGAAAAGGCCGTTTTGGGTGGAGTTTGGGAGGGTGCGGGTGCGGGTTTTGTTGAGCTCCGGGGGAGGCATTGGGTGAATCAGGGTGTCGATAGTTGGTTTTGCGAGTTATGGCTTCATATTTGTGTTTTCCGCAGTTTCAGTGTCTGCATTCGTGTATTGGTGGTGGTGGTGTCTAGTTTGACGGTTTGAAAGCTTGAATAGCCAGTGGATACATGAGGCGAGGCTGAAGCTACTCTATCCTGCGCCACATGCCGAGCTTGGGCCTCCATCAAGCTTATTTGTGTCGCCCAAAAAGTCTGAAGAGGGACTGTGAACAGCTGAAGGTTTATAACTAAAGCAAAATCTGCTATAATTTATTCCTTTGGCTTAAGATTATAGTAACTAGCTAATTGAAAGTCTGAAAATAGGCCGAGTCAATTGGGGACAGTTCACTCCGGTTTCTCCCTCCCTTCCCCTTATCGCTAGGATCTCTTAGTGGTTTCAGCACCCGTATTTCGTATTCCTTACTTACAGAAAAGAGAGATCGAGTACCACCGCAAATATCCCCTTGCGTGGCACGCTGCCAATTGAGATTTGGATCTCCATCTTCGTCTTCTCCGAAACATATACTCCCCTTACAGAGGACACAGTTTTGTCCATTCTTTGCGCGGAGAGCAACTGCAAGCGTCCGCAAGGCTGCATAAGTTGGAGATCGCGCCACAATCTCTCAGCGTTCAACTAACTAATCCGCCGTTTCTTCTGACGTACGACACTGCCATTGAAAGACCAGGGGGATGCCATGCGCAATGGCGCCAGACATCACCGGCTCTACGCAAGCCCGCCCGACTACAGCATCTGGGCTATTGCCCTTCTTGAGGCGCAAAGCGAAGGCAGTGCCCTGTGAAGAGATGGCGCAGGATAGACCACCAACAGCAGCAACGACTACGGCGCCAAATGCGATTGTGAGCCCGGAAAACGACACCAGGGGTTTGGGGCTCCAACAGACCATATCCAGCAGCGGGACCGAGAGCAGGCCGGGGACAAACAGCGAAGGGGGTGGTTTGAGAGTGACGGCACAACCGCAGGGGGAAGGGAATGCGCCGAGAGCACCAAGCATAGCGCTGAGCGACGTCTCGTTAAGAACAGTGGGGAGCCGCTGGAGGATACGGAGCAAGAACGGGGACAAAGGCAGCGAGAACAAACCAAGGACACCCAGCTCGAATGGTGATGTGCCGACACTAAACCCGGGCCCTGAGAGGGAATTTACACCGCTTACGACGAGCTTGCCGGATACGCAACTGGATTTTATCAATCAGGTCAGCTTTTCGACTCGGGGCAGCGTGCTTCTGGGAGGGAGGAAGGCGGTTAATGCCAGGTCGGTTTCCAAGCCGGCCTCAGAAAGGGTGGCTGCTGCGGTTGAGTCACGGAAGGCTGCGACGGAACCATCGAATACTGTGGTTGAGCAACTTAAGACTGCACCGGAGCCACTGAGAACAGCGCCAGAACTACCAAAGGCTGTGCCCGAGCCATCGAATACAGTGATCGATCCACCGAATACCGTACCGGAGCCATCCAATACTATGGTTGAGCCACAAAAGTCTGTGCTGGAGCCACCAAACCCTGCGCCGGAGCCACCAAGGACCGCGCCAGAACCACTGCGGACTGCACCAAACCTATCGAAGGTTTCACTAGAGCCACCGAGGACTGCGCTGGAGCCATCACTACTTGCGGTGCTGCCAGAGGAGATCGCGAAAGAGAGTTTAAAGGTCAGGTCTATGTACGAAGAGGACGTGATAACGGATTGGAGAGATGGTAATCCGATAAACCATCCCCTGCCGCTGGCCGAAGAATACGAGGGACCGAGCAACGATACTTTCAAGGTGCAGCTACGGCCTAGACCACAGACTGCGAGGGCACCCAGCGCAAATAGGTACAGTGTTCTAAGACGTGAACATGAGCTTGCTGGTGGCATTGAGGATTGGGAAGATATTTGCGGCGAGGACGTTGATCGATATGGATTCATCGTTAAGACATCAGAGACACCAGAACCTCGAGCACCACAACGTGTATCGACATCCCTCCAGCTTGCCTCTCAAGCGCCTAGGAAGCAGCGAGGCTTTGGACTACAATCTCCAGCCAAAAATACCGCGGCTAAGTCTCTTAGAACACAAAACACCACCGCATCTCAACGAAGTGTGTCAAGTCCCTTGAGGACACTTGCCAACCGCCTGCCCGGCAACCAAGACAGACGCTGGATGGATGAAGCAGGCGACATGCTGACACTTCCCCACGGCCTCGCTGACATCACCGAAGTCGACGAAAGAACCACGGCCGCCGAAGCGACCAAGAAGCGCGAATGGGCGCGCTCAGAGAAGTGGCGCCGGATGGCCAAACTCGTCAACCCAGGCCCGGACGGCGAAGGCATGGAATTCGAGTTTGACGTCGCACATCCAAAGCTCATCGACCGAACATGGAAGGGAATCCCGGACGTGTGGCGCGCGACAGCCTGGCGCTGTTTCCTCAACGCTAGCGCGAAGAAGGTTGAAGGTAGCCCGACAGAAGCGTCTCTGGTCAAGGCGTTTCAGCGGCTCGTAGGCGAGGGCAGCGCCGACGATGTGCAGATAGACATGGATGTCCCGCGCACGATCAACAGTCATATCATGTTTCGGAAGCGGTATCGTGGCGGGCAGCGCTTGCTATTTCGCGTACTGCACTGCCTCGCCCTATATTTCCCCGACACGGGATATGTGCAGGGGATGGCTAGTCTGGCGGCCACACTGCTGTGCTATTATGACGAAGAAAAGACATTTATCATGTGTGTCAGGCTGTGGACGTTGAGGGGACTTGATAAGCTGTATGCACATGGATTTGCTGGGCTGATGTCTGCGTTGGATGAGTTTCAGGTGGATTGGATGAGGGGACATGATGTATCCCGCCAACTTGTAAGTTACACTCAAATCTTTCGAGAAAGAAAATACTGATTTCGCTAGGACGAACTGGATATCGGCCCCACGGCGTATGGGACACGCTGGTACCTCACGCTGTTCAACTACTCCATCCCCTTCGCGTCACAGCTGCGTGTTTGGGACGTTTTCATGCTGCTTGGCGACTTGGATCCCTCTGTGCCAGCAACGCGGAAGCGGCCATTCCAGAACGGTCTGGATGTGCTGCATGCGTGCAGCTGTGCGCTGATTGATGGGACGCGGGAGATCCTGCTCGATTCGGACTTCGATAATGCGATGAAGGTGCTCACGAGCTGGGTGCCGATCAAGGATGAAGCGCTGTTCATGAGAGTCGCGAGGGCCGAGTGGAAGATACATCAAAGGAGGAGGAGAGCGCGATGAGGATCTGTCGACATGGATGGAACTGGAACTGTCCGTCTCTCGAGATGAAGCAAACTGGTGCCCGACAACCTACTGTATGGACCATATCAACCCTCAATACCACCACTCTAACCCTCCCATACCTTCATTATCAATATACACCACAACCACCTTAATTACTGAGCTACGACAATACAACATAATATCTCTCACCAAACCTCCGATTGACGACGACTCAGAGACTCACAACGATCTAATTTATACCCAAATCATACTAATCCATCTAGACCTCCTTTCTTTTTCTTTGCTATTTGTATACCTGGACTATTGGGAGCGAGCTGGAATTCTGCAAGCAGGATGATGAAGCTCTTGTGAAAGGAAGGATGCGCGGACAAAGACAGGGGGGTGGATATGCATATATCCAAATATCCTAACAGCACAGCGGAAGGCGCGACCTATTTGGTGGAGGCGCCAGTATGGAGCTTGTGGAGGAAGGAGCGAATCCAGTAGGTAGTGTGACTGCATAGGGAAGTCGCAATCAAATAAAACAACTTGCAGTACCCATGGACGAGATATAATGTCCCTGGCCATTGCCGCCCTGCCGCGCGTATATCACCTGAATAGCGTCATCTGTTCCTCAAAAGCATGTCACGAGTATAGTGAAGTCAGTCACCTGCTGAGTAAAAAGCCCGAGAATTGAGTGTGAGTTAGATGGTATTGATGCATATAAGTCCAGGCATCCCAGCCCATCTGTCTGTTCTCTTGTTTTTATGGAGCAGACGGATGCGTATCTAAGCCCCCGTCCTTGTTGTCTCGATATTCGAGATACACGCACCCAGTTCTCGGTCTATATTACATGGGCCGCTCCTCCGAGCCCAAAAGCCCTATCCGTCGCGCAATAGCCGATCGAAACGGTGCGGACAATGCTGCTGCACCGTTCTTCGCAACAGCAAGCTATCCAAACCTCCCTCCTCCATCTCTCATGTGGCAGTGTCGCCCATCCTGGAACCGGCCCTATGAATTACAACACAAACACACACGAAATAGAAAGGTCGAGGAAGAAAACGGTCAAGTCTCGATGCCATGCCCTGCGTACTCTATTCGTTTCTGAATTTCCGAATAGAAGATGGTGTGAAAACCGAAGCTGAGCTCAAGAAATGCGCAAGTGGCGGCGGCGGAGCAGTAAAAAGTGGGTGAAGAAGAAGAAGAAGAAGCCCCTAAAGATGCGTCCGTTTGAATGAAGTTGAAAAGAATCGAAGTAAAAGTAGGGTTGGCAGAAGAAGGGTTGGTATCAGTCCGTGACCCCTGGCTGAATGTCTCGGAACTGATCCGGATATATCACAAGGCCCGCAGACTGAGACATCGCAACTGTCGCGGTGCTAGCCGCATTGTGGCAAAAGTTGCATCAGCATCAATTGATCGGCTGGTATTCAAAGTAGTAAAAATGGTGGGTGTATCGTCCCCAATCTCTCATCTCTGTCCCCTCCCAGTCATGGAGCAGGGTTCATTTCCCCATCAACAAGACTAGGTCCTCGGTATTTTGCGCGTTTTCATCGCGTCCAAGTAGGTACACCGCTCATTCTCTCCCCTCTCTCCGCCGGATTTCCTGCTCAGGTGTTCGCTCTTCATAACGCCACTCCGCGCCCCTCTGCTGTTGCTGCTGCTGAGGCATCGGCAACGGGTGCCTGCCCTCAGAGTGAAGGGTATTCCTCCTCCCGCTCTGCGCCACCTCGACATATCCATAACCCTCAGGAGATCGTGGCGCCGATTCGCCATCCTGGAACTGTGCGCGCCGCGCCGGATCTAGCGAACCGCTGCGGTGGGAGTGTGCGCGGCGACGGGCGGGGCCCTGGGAGTAGGGCGGCGAGTGGTGGGGGTGCCTCGCTGGTGGAGGACCTTGCGCTTTTCGCTTCTTCGGAGGGGATGAAGCGCGGGGCGCTTCTGCTGGGGGTTAGCGTCGTGATCAAAGGGAAAACTGCTGGGGGGTTATTCACCTGATGGCGTAGGCGGCTGCGTGCTCGGCGGCGGCGGCGCCTGAGAGGTTGGTGGCTGCCAGTGGTGAAAGTAGATCCCTGGACTCTGCTGTGGAGAGGGTTCTGAAGGCTGCGTCTGCGACTGAGACTGAGATTGCGGAACGGACTGCAGGATCCGGAAATCGCCTGTGTTTAAGCGCGGGAGGCCTACGGACTGCGGGGTGCGCGCGAGTGCTGAGGGGCCTGGGAGGGTCCGCGAGCGCGGTGGAGAAGCTGGGTAACCCTGTCCTTGACTTTGTGCAAAGGGGGTTTGTTGAGTGAGAGAGGCGACGGGCGTCGACGGGACTAGAGCGGGAGCTAGGTGTGAGTGTCCATACGGGTGGGATATTTGTCTATCCTCCCTCCTTAGCATGGGCGAGGCAGGCTGCGCTGCAGCGAGAGAGTTGGTGGATTGCTGTTGCGGCGGCGGCGGCAACTGCTGGAGCTGCGGCTGTTCCTGCGCCACGTAGCGCTGCGCCCATTCTAGACCTGCGCTAGGTAGGTTGCCACTGCCCATGCCGGCGAAGACCAATGGAATGAGGTGAGGTGGAATGCCGCCGCTCAGCGAAGTGCGGATGATATCGTGCTCGGTGCGGCGCTGCTCGAGGCGTAGGGACTCCTGGGCCGTCCTCTCCTCCTCCTGGCGGCGTTTGTCCTCCTCCGCCTTCGCCTGTAGCCAGGTTCGCATGGAATCCTCGGCACCATGCCATTGTTGCGGCGGCGAGGGTAGCTGGCCAAGCGGCTGCTGTTGCGTCATAGGCTGTGCGGGAGCTGGCGGCTGTTGGGCGGGCTGGGACTGGGAGGGCTGCGATTGGGAGGAAGGCAGGGCGGGAACGGCGAGATGGGGGAGGCCGCGGTGCGGTGTAGACATCGAGGGAGGAGTGGTGATCCTGGGCGGCGGAGGGTAGGCGGGCCCGGAGGTTATGAGGGCTGGTGAGAAGCGCGACGTGGATGGCGGTGTGGGGGGGGAGTAGTCATGGAAGGGTTTGAAGGCGTGGTTCGAGGGCGGTTGCAGGGTGAGTAACATGACGATGGCGCTCTAACGGGACCGGTGTGGTGGGACCATGGGTGTGGAAATGGGGGAAAAGTTGGATTATAGTGATAAATAACTACAGGTGTCTCTCGAAGATGTTTGTGAAGAAGCAGAAGAGGCTGGACAAGCAGCCTTGGTTGGGGGGGGATCAAGGGAAACAGAAAAGAGGGTAGAGAGAAGTGAAAAAAGTCGAAGGTAAAGTGAGTATAAGGAAGAGCAAAACGTTAGAGTGAGAAAGGAAGGAAGTAGGAGAGAGTTAGAAGCTCTGTTGGTGTTTTTTGGGGGGGGGGGGGGGGGGGGGGGGGCGGGGGGGGGGATTTTATGTAAGCCACAACACAAGGTAAAGGCCGACTGCGGGGCATGTGGGAGGTGCAGTAGTGGAAAGAAGGAAGTGGGATTACCGTCGTATGGAGAATTAATTTACTTTGGTACGGAGTGTGTGGTAAGCAGAGCAGAAGTAATAAGTTAAGTTGACGTTGACGTTAGCAGCCATGCCATATGGGGGGAGGATGCGGCAACAGGGCACAGGGCAAGGGGCAGTCATTTCGTACAGGACCGGGCGTGAAACGGGGGGTGTAATGAAGGAGTGATGTGAAGCTGGATGGATGATCTGATCGTCTCGAGTACGTCCAATGTATCCCATCGGGGGGCTCTTCTCGCTGGAGACGTCCAATGTATCCCATCGTGTATCCCATCGGGGGCTCTTCTCGCTCGGACGTCCAATGTATCCCATCGGGGGCTCTTCTCGCTCGAGACGTCCAATATATCCCATCGGGGGCTCTTCTCGCTCGAGACGTCCAATGTATCCCATCTGGGCTCTTCTCGCTCGAGACGTCCAATATATCCCATCGCGGGGCTCTTCTCGCTCGTCGCTCGTGGCGCTAGGATTGGGAATGGATTATACATTACTCCGTATACTGGACTTGGAATGACGACCATGGACCAAAGCCCAGAAATAGCACAGCCGACTCCCGCGTTTCAGCATGCCGAAAACGAAATCCCCACACGCGAGCTCCGTTTCACATACATCCGTCACGCCCAACAGATAGAAACCCCTCTCCAGTCTGAAACAATGATGTCTCTGGCAAATCTTCAATGGCGGACTATCGATCTTCCGAGACCTTGTCTTCAGAGAGCTTTGCACGACACAGAGAGACAGGATTGATAGCGTTGGGAGGTGTTGAGGCGCGTTGAGAGCCTCAACGGGACGAGATGGAGTGGACATGTCGGATCTGGAATGCAAGACACGTATGATTGTGCTGATTCCGAGGGTTTAGACCTCTCGTTCGACCTCGAGCTTCCAGCTCTGATTCCGAGGGTTTAGACCTCTTGTTCGACCTCGAGCTTCCAACTCTGATTCCGAGGGTTTAGACCTGATGGAGGATGGAGATGGAGATGGACGTTGTTGTCTGTGAGTTAACTTAGCCTTATCCCAGAGTGACCACCTCGCTCAAAGGGTGCGAGGATCGATGGGAAGCAGAGCGTACGTACTGCTTCATTCTGTCAAAATTGGGGAGTAAAATATAGAACCTTAGCATTCTAAGAATTCATTTTTGTTGGCTGTCTCTTTTGATCTTTTATGTTCCTTCTTTTGTCCAGCTCTGTCGGCTGGACTTGATGGACTTGACGCGACTGGAGCTGAATTTGTGAGGCAAAATAACACTGCTCTATCCAAACACGTTCTTTCCAAATTGGGCAACAGAACCACCAACCTTACAACCACAGATCAACAACTCTATCTTGCCTGGTAAGTTAAGCACCTGCATCCTCAACCTCACCTTTCATCTCAGCAACTGCACTTCCCAGTCCCACCACAATCTATAAAATGTTACATTTGTTCGCTTTGGTCCAATTTCTGCATCGCTCCTGGTGCTGGCCATCAAAGGCAAACAATGCACCCTTTCCTGAGCGACGACACCAGTGTCAAGAGAATTAACGGGAAACTCTGTCTAGTTCGCCCCAGCCGTCGAAAAGCGAGAAGCAGCTCATCCTACGACTTGGGACACGTGCTCGGCATTGGCTACAATCTTCTCAGTGAGGTCTTCGACGGCGTCGCTTTCAGAATGGACAAGGACAAAGCAGAGACTGAGGCCGTGAAGTCTTCTGTGCTTCATCATGTACACGAGCCAAATCCGATGGCACCTGCGGTGCCCCCTCCCCAGCCAGGAATATACCAGCAAGGTAACCGCCAGCTTGTCTTGCTCCCCAAAGTTCCTACAGGACATGGACCGCCGCCGATGATGCACCAAGGCCACTTCGGATACCCACAGCAGCCGTTCATGTATGGTGGCCAGCCACAGATGGTGTCCATGATGGGGAATACGGGATTCGGCGGCTTCAATTCACAGTATGACAAACCTGCTCCGGCTACTGCGCCTGTGGCTACGCCAACTTCGATCACCGTTACGCGGCACTTGTGCGCAAATTGCGGGAACTTGAGATCGAGGAAGTATCAGGCCGCACACCCGCTCCAGGCGGGCGATACAGCGCCGGTGTCGTTCTGCAGGAAGTGTGAAAAGGAGTTTAGATCGACTGATTCAGAGATCGAGATAGAACTTCCACTGAAGAAAAGTAGGAGGCACTACAGAAAGGTGCAGAGGGAGAAGCATATCAAAAAAGTGGTTTATGAGAAGGATCTGTTTCCGGCGACCCATATTTGCGCCCAGTGCGGCAATCCCAGATCAAGAAAGTACCAGGCGACGCATCCGATCAATGCTGGAGAAACCCCTCCTGTGTCGTATTGTGGAAAGTGCCAGAAGCAGGTGACGTCGAGCGAGGATAGTGCTGGAAGCGAAGGAGAGACGGTGACATATGTGACCAAGGGAAGAAATACGCATGAGACAGACCGAAAATATTATCGAGACCGAAGGCTAAAGGTATGTGTGAAAACCGCGAGCTCCATTACTACAAAGGTATATTATAGGATATTCACTGATGCTCTTAAGAATATCTCAAAGAGCACCAATCAACGCCATTACCTCGATCTAGATGGTGAATCTGGCAGCACTGCATCCAAGGTAACGCCAACCAAATCACCCTTCTCCAGACTCTAATTTTCGGCCAGAAGGTTCGCGCAAGCACGCCCGTGGAGGAATGTATCGTCGTCACCGAGAGGTCAAGCGACCAACGACAGAAAGGGCGCCAAAGCCAGCGTCATTTCAAAGGAGATGGCGATGAACTGCAACAATCCCCTCTAGCGGCTATTAGAAAACCAATCAGGCGTAGGTCTAGCGAGTTGTTGCCAGCAGCTGTGCGGAGAACTGGAAGTTCTTCCCGGCGGAGGACTCGTCGTGGTAAAGCTCAACCACTTTCGGAACACTATGAATACGATAGCCAGGAATCTTCAGATTTGGAGGGACTCGCCGAGAAAGCGTATAGGGATTATCTCAGCGACGGCGCACCTCTTCACGAGAGAGATCTCTCACTAGGGCCCTCGAAACGAAGATCGCCACAGGCACAGGTCCATAGACGAAGAGTGTCAGCGCAAGCTTTGGAGGGTTATCTTTCCGAGGATTCCCTGGCCAGATTCCGTGAAGCCGCCTCAACCAGACGGAAGGAGCGGGAAAGTTTGCCACCACAAAATGTTCGCAGTGCCCATCCTGGGATTCAAAAAGAGTTGAAGAACCTCAAAGACGATGAGATGCTTGTTGTCACCGAGCGCTACGTCTACCGGCCACTGAAATCTACATCAGCCGTTGGTGAGTTGAGAGACGAACGGGCGGACCGAGGCAGAAAACCACATCGAGCTCCACAGAGGCTCATCAGCCAGAATGATGCTGCGGAGTATTTTCCCGAAGAATGGAGTCGGACTAGAAGCCGTACCGGTCGACACACTAGGTATCAGCGAATTCGACCACGCGACCTGGACGGTGCAGCTCTGCCGAGCGGACCAGGGAGCTCTGAAGCAAGCATCGACCAGCTGAGTTACCATCAAGGTTTGCATCGAATGATCGAGCACACATAGACAAATGCTAATATAAAACCAGACACAAATATTCGACCACTCCTCCCACCAGCACCAACACCTCCGAGCGTCTCGACGGCAACCACTGGAAGCGTGGATACATACAGTTACTCCTCACGCGATACGACAGAGTACACTCCCTCTAACTAGCCACGTGTCTATCGCCCTTCTCGTCTCCCGGGCGAGTACCAACCTAGTTCTGACTCCGGTTCATCGCTGCATGCCGCGTCGCCTCCTGTTGCCTCGCCACGGGCTTCGAGACAACAACGCTGGCCTACCCGCACGAGCCGCGAATCGCGCAGATACCGCTCGCCATACGTGCGGGATACAAATAGTGGAGGAAGTGAAGGGGCAAGGGTCTCGTCGCGTAGCCGGTCAAGGGAGAGGGTGGTGTTTTACTCCGAGGGAGAGGAGGAGCCAAGCGATTTAACGGCGAATGATTAGATTGACAAGCGGAGGGTGGCGTTTGGGCAGAATCAGGTGAGGACGATTAGTAGAGAGTCATTGGCGGCGGAGGGGAGGCGAGAGAGAGAGAGAGGGAGCGGGGAAGGGAGTTTGGGGTTGCAGGGATGAGATATGGGCACTGAGAGAGGAAAGGGGATACATGGGAGTATGATGAGGAGGGTGGAGATGTGAATATCTGACAGATGAAAGATGCGGTAGAATGACAATTGTAATTCTTTAATGCCTCGGGTTTCTACGCTAGCAGTTTCCATCATGCAGAAGGAATGACTTCAGCTCGCATGAATCGTAGTTCCCTCGGGCTAGAGATGTCGTTCTTGTTTTATGACATGAATATTCTCTCTTATGTGCGAGTTAGACGCTAGCTATACATTTGTTCAGCCGCTAGATCTTCAGCGTAGTCCCCACGAAGACTCTTATGCCGCACGAGTATGACGGGACTCACATTCTTATGTTGTGGTCTACTATACAGTCACACACTTCCATCAGACTCGAGTCAACGATATAATTTGGTATCAAATCGCAAAACAAGTCTAAACTCCCATATCCACGCTATGCAAAAACCATTGCCATTCAAGCCTTGCTCTTAATCTCCAATGGCGCCTCTCCACTAGCCAAAAACACATCGGTGTACCCCTCCTCTTGCATGGCGTTGTAGAACGTCTTGCGGTTGTACGGCGTCAGCGCTAGTCCCTCGCGGATCCTCGTACACCAAATCTGATATGATGACATTAACACTTCAAGCTGCACTTTACTCGTCTTCTAGGTCATCAATTGACTGCCGGAGCGACAGCCGGAGCGACAGCCGGGTGGCTGTCGGAGTGGCTGTCGAGATGACAGCAGGAGTGGCAGCCGGAGTGGGCCGGACTGGCAGTCGAGGTGGAACGAATATATAAAACGGCCCTAAGTTAGCATGCTCTACTAACACACAGCATCTATAGGGTCAGGCAGTGTAGTCAGACTACTTTTGACACTACAATTAACTTAGAGATAAGTGGCTTACGATTCTAGAAATAGCAGCAATCTTTAATTACCACCTAATGATACACATGGCTTGAAAAAGCTATAGATAATCCTTGCTAATACGTATGAATATACTTTAATCAGCCACCTCCTTAATGCAACCTTGCTTGGTGGTTCTACTTCTCCTTATTTGGCCTAATTCTTTATTAGCACATTAGTCACTGCCTGTGTAATGTGCCAGTTTGCCTTAGTCTTTTGTCATACTGACATTCGTTGCACTCAGTTTGCTATCAAACTCAAGAGCGAACTTAGAAATCTCCTCCTCAAACCTACAAGTCACTATACATATTTTGGCTTGTCACACCAACAACAAGAGCAATACTACTCAACGATTGCTACAACCCTCTATGATTCATTACACGTCATTGCTCCTTAGTTACTGGGCCGATATGACCACATAGCATATCTCTACAACCCTCTATGATTCATTACATGACATCACTCCTTAGTTACTGGGCTAATACTACACATGACATATCTCTATCAACTAGAGGCCTAGGAACATGAACGATAGCTCCAAAAGCTTCTACAACCCTCTATGATTCATTACACGTCATCGCTCCTTAGTTACCCACAAGATTGGTTAAATTATGACATAATTTGTCTATAGGGGTACTCTGACCTTGGACCTCCTTTCACTTCCTATAGGCTAGGAACCTAGGAGATAGTTCTATGGGATTCTCTTATGTCGACTACAGTTACCAAGCCTGGTTGTAAGGACACAGGGCACCCAGCTCACAGTAATAGCATATGAGAGTGCGAGTCGGAGGCTAAACGGATGCTATCCTATAGGTCTACTACGAAGGATACAAAAAAGATGATGGGGAACACCGTCAGTCGATTTTCTCAAGTATCCGAAACCCATCCGACTCGGTTCCGACTCGGTTAGGCCACCCAAATGATCACACGTGACCCCGCAGCTACCCGGAGTCTACTCCATAGAATGAGAGACGAGAAGGCATCCTTTGTTACGACGGAACAAGAAGGCTGGCCAACTACAGGACAGGAAGGAGGGAGGTCGCATGAGACTGGCCCTGGTACCTGGAGGGGCAGCGGGGAATAGTAGTTCCGAAAGTATCACGTGACGGACTCGCAGGATGATGAGAAGAGTCCTAAGAGTCCAGGACTCCGAGGACTCGAGTGAGTTTCCAGGAGTCCACTAGGCATGTGACGGACTCGCAGGATGATGAGAAGAATCCTAAGAGTCCAGGACTCCGAGGACTCGAGTGAGTTCCCAGGAGTCCACTAGGCACGACGCCACTATATAAGTAGATAGTTAGTTCTTAGATAGGGGCTTCGTGCTCAACTCAATACAGTATTGTTATATACTAGTAACGTGTTACTTGAAGCCTTTGTGTCCAATCCCCTGCCTCCTCTGATAAGTAAACCTTTACGCAAGAGAACCTCTGTGTCTTCTATCGTTTAGAAGTCAGCGTTACATCCTTACACTACCCCCCTCCTGAGAGAGTGCTTTGTCCGCAAGGCACGCGGCTAGTATCATGTCCGCAATGCACGCGGTTAGTATCCTGTCTGCAACGTCTCCGAATCGTCTCCGTATCGTCTCCGTGAACGGAGCGTTTCTTGTTATCATAATGTTGGCTGGTAATTGCATCCGGAACAACTTCGTTTGTCGTGCGTGTCGGGAAGGTGCTTTGTTTGCCACCGTAGTCATCCCGAGGTGGTATCGCGTTAGGGTCCGTGTGGCATGTGAAACTGGAGTTCGCTTTTGTTGGATCTCACGTTCGTTCTTGGGGTCCGAAACAGTACCGGAAGGTGTCCGCTACCCGTTTGAGTAGAATTTTCGTAAAACGTGAAAGAAGAAGTTGCCGCGCTAACCCGATTCGGCATTCATTGTTGTTGTTACGATATCAAGTGCGCCTTGCAGCTCGAGTGGGGGTTCAGGGGTGTGGGGAGCTTTCCAGGGTTGGAGCGAAGTTTTCAGTTGTGGAGTGAATTCTCAGAACTGGTCTCGCTAAAGAGAATTCACTCCACAATAGCTGTATATAGATCGAGCCACTGCTCGAGTGCTCCTCTTCTCTTTCCTTTCTTCTCTAGATTGAGTTTAATTCATAATACCCAACTGGCGCCCTATGCCTTGGTGAACCGTGACATAAAACTCAATCTCTCTTATACCTCTTTTCCTGCTCTTTGAGCTGAACCCTCTTCTGAAATCGAAATCGAAATCCACTCTTTGAAAACCCCAGAACCAGAAACCTTATCCTGAAGTCGATTCCAGGACGATCTCGAGGCAACCTCTCAAAGTTGGCTTTCGACAGTCAGCTCGACACACACACACCACCTTCGCAAGTCAGACCTTTTACAACGCTCCCTCGACAAGGATATAACTGTGAGGGAAGTGCGCTCCTCTCGAGTGGCTCCTACAGCCAACAACTGCACAATAGGGCCTTTGGCAATATGTGTCTGACTTGACGATATAAACCGAAATTGAAATAGCAACTCGCTATGGCTTATGCAGCTGAAGAAAAAGCTGCAATGGCAGCTCGAAATGATCCAGAACAAGACCAGGAATCCCTGGCAGAAGGAGCATCAATTCCAAGCTCTGCAAACCAAACCAATGAACTTCATGATCCTAATTTCAAATCCGAAACCTTCCTTCACACTCTGGGCAAAACAGCTCAAGAGAGACATGAATTTATACTTGCAAATCGACATGAAAAGGCTGAATGGAATGTTGAAACCTTTGACGAATTTCAGAAACTATCTGTCGCCAACCAGAAAATGGCATGGACTTTGCACAAGAACATTGTTCGGGACTATTTGGCCCTAGCAGAGGACTCAAATTCGATACTGGCTGAAAAGGATGATGCCATTCTCCAGTTACAGGAACTGATCCAGAGCAACGAGCAAAAAATCACAGAGCAACAAACAATTCAGAAATATCTTGAAAAGCAAACCCAACAAGCTCTGAAGAATGAACCAGGACACCACTCTCACAGTCGACTGTCAGCTCGGATTCCAGACCCTCCAATCCTCACAGATGGGATAGAGCCAGCATTTGAAGACTGGGTTGTGAAAATTCGCCTCAAGCTCGAAGCCAACATTGATCATTTTCCAACACAGACTTTACAAATGAGCTACATTCAGAGTCGACTGGGAGGACTGGCAGTTCGACATGTCAATCCAAGGCTTCGACCAAACTCTACAAACAAATTGCAGACAGCAGAAGAAATTCTCAAACTTTTGGAAAAAGTCTTCAGTGATCCCGATCGAAGGCACACAGCTCAAACTGAGTATCGAAAGCTGTATCAGAGAAACAACACCTTTGCAGTGTTCTGGGCTGAGTTCCAAAGGCTCACGACAGAGCTTGATTACTCTGAAGAAACTTTGCTGGATGACTTGCGCTTCAAAGTCAACCAACAGATGCAGAAAGCCTTAGTGGCTGAAGTTGGAGCTACTACACTTTACGAGTTTGCAAAGAAATGCATGCTCATCGACCAGAACATTCAGCGGATCAAGGAACAAGAAGACAAAAGGAAGCCAAAGTCATTTTCGAACAACATGGGCCAAACTCAAAATCAGGGCCAGGCACTTCGAACTTCAATCCCTCAACCTACAATGGATTCGAACATGCAAAACAAGACGCAGAAGCTGTATCGACCACCGCATCAAGATCCAGCAAAAGAAATGCTCATGAAACTTGGGAAATGCTTCATATGCCGACAAAATGGACATCGAGCTCGAGACTGTCCCCAGAAGCTCAAAGCTCTGAAAACGAATAGCCTCTAGACAAGTCATCACTAGAGGCAGTGCAGCCAGAATTGCAGCTTCTTCCTCGAGATCCAGTTTTGATCCGGACACCCCTTTCTTAGCTACTTGTAGAATAGGAAAATACAAAGCTATTGTCCATGCATTGATCGATACTGGTGCCACAGGTGGAAACTTTATTAATGCTGCTGATGCAGAAAGAATATGTGAAATCGAAGGGATAGCCAAAGAAATGCCTCCTCCGGAACCTGCTCCGAAAGTGGAAAAAACCAAAACCTTGCACCATAGCAATGATTGGCGCAGCACCATTTCAAATGCTCATGAAGCA